AAAAACCTCTAATACCTAAAAATAAGCTACCTCATATTTTCAAGCCAAAAACAATAGTAATTTTTTTATTACAAAAATAAGCTATCTCTCAAATCCATACAACATACAATCATACAATCTTTATTAGTGAATAAACAAGTTTCCAGTAATGCTTATTATTTTCCTGATGGAAAAATAACAAGCATTACTTGAAAACTTGTTTTTTTTACTGTCATAATATCGTGTGTATACGTATATGTATTTACTATTATATACTAGTAATTTTTTCTACACTAACCTGATTCCTTTAGTGAATGTACTAAAATTAAAAAATCAGATAAATTAATAAAATAAAAAAATAAATTGTATGCCAATTTAAATTATAATAAATTAAAAAAAAAAAATAAATAAAAAATAAATAATAAAAAATTTAAAATAATAAATTGGCGACCTCTATATATATAAATTTTTTTTTGTATACTATGATACTCTTTCAAAACTGTAAATATTAGCAGCTTGAGCTGTTCTCCTTTCAAGACCTTAGATGCTAAATATGGTAAAACACCATAAATATAACCATCCTGTTTTTCATCAGATGATATTGATGAATCTATATCAATATAAGCTTCATATAGTTCTTTTAGTAAAATATTACTGGAATATAAATTTTGATGTATAAATTTTTTAGAATAAATATTTGATAGATAGTTAATATAATTTTTTTTTTGTTTTTGTTGTTTCACTTTGTTTTTGCTTCTTTTTGCTTCACTTTTCGCATAATAATTTTTTTTTTAGCTTGTTGCTTTTCAGATCCTGTTTCGTCATTGATGTCATAATATTTTGGGTTTTGTAAGTAGTTTTTTGAGTTTTTTTCTCTCTTGTTGTTCTTGTACAGCATTGTTTTTTTTTCCTCTTCTGTCATTCTTGTATTAACTTGGCTTGCTTAGAGTCGTAGGTTTCTGGAGTGTGGTTGTTGAATCAACTGTGCACTCAAGATAGTCTTGAAGAAAAACTTCAACCGAAAAAATCGCCAACAAAATGACTTTGGTAAGGCTTCTT